TCTTGCAGTGATCCCGACAACGTCGCTTTCTGCGTGCTGGCCACCGACGAGGAGGATGAGGGGGACATTGCCCTGCAGATCCACTTCACCCTGATCCAGGCCTTCTGCTGTGAGAATGACATTGACATCGTGCGGGTGAACGACGTGGCCAAGCTGGCTGCTATCGTGGGGCCCAGCGAGGAATCTGGGGAGCCGCGAGACCTCCACTGCATCCTCATCACGGTGGGTGTCCTGCAGGAGGCCAGTGGTGTTTGGGGCGCTGACCTCTGGGGCTGTGCTTGTGCCACTGGCCTCTACATGGGACTGTTAGAGCCTTCTGGGGTGTTCTCAGCTCCCACTGGTAGTCACATCCTCTTCTGGGCAGAGAAAGGGGACTTGGTGTACACTGTTCAGCAGTGTTCAGCAAGTCAGCTGAGTAGTAGGCTATGCTTCTTGTAACTGTGGATTTCCTTTGTTGGCCACAAGGGTAACATTTCTGCTTCCCGTGTTGTCTGTGTTGGGACAGAAACCATGTAAGAATGCCTTGCTTCCTAAGCTAATGCTTCTGTAAATATTGTGATGACTTCAGCTGGCAGGCAGTGCTCATGGTGTGCAACTTTTTTCTTTCTGGCAGAACCCGAATGAAGATGGCTGGAAGGACCCAGCTCTAGAAAAATTGAACTCATTTTGTGAAGAGAGCCGAAATATCAATGACTGGGTGCCAACTATCACCCTGCCTGAGTGATGGTGACCCAGTGCATTGGGGAGGCTGAAACCTTTGTTGCATTCTCAATGTGGAGTGGGCTCACCGAAGTGTGCAACAAGCTGCTGATTCCATGGATTAGCCTGGTCAAGAGACTGGATTAAAGTCACTCAGACTGGCATGCAGTGGGCTCTTATGGAGGAGAAAGAACAGCTCGCCTCACCAGTGAGCCTTGGTAGACTGCAACCGTGGAGAGGCTGACATACACCATGGGACTGAAAGAAGTATTGCAAGATTCCTGGTCAAGTGGAGCTGTTTCAGAAGGCAGAGAGAAAGTTGAGGAAAGTGGGCCAAAACTTTCCAGGAGGACTGGACAGAGTACTGTAACTGAACTGTTGGTGCTGTCTACAAAACACAGAAGAAAGTTTGAACATTTGATGGACTACTAGGGACTGATTACTAAGACAAATACAGAGACTCCAAAGTGGACAGACTTCAACAGGCCTCTTGGGTCACTCTGCGGAACTGGTTTAATAATGCAATAATTTTTATTGAAATATTTGCTGCTGTTGAAGCTTTCATAATAAATTTTTGACAATTAATGTCTAGGAGTGTCTTGCTTACTGGGTGGGGAAGCATGTCACTGAAATACCACTGATGTTTTGCTAGTGTGCTGTACTCAAAGGTATATTCCACAGTAATGGAGCTATTGCTCAAATACTTTCTCTCCTGGGCCAGCTTGTGTGAAGAGCTGTGCTGCCTAAGTTGATAATTCAACCTTTCACCCTCTTGCAACAGCTGCTTATCGCAACAGCTTGCAAGACTAAGGAGCTGCATGCTTAATGAGCTTGCTTATTGTAATAGGTGGTCTTTGTAGTCTGCTAGAGGAACACAATACATGTTAGAAACAGATTTTCTTGGAATACAGACCTCCAGAAAATTGCATCATTAATTCTTAAATATGACTTAGTAAGACTCATTCAGAGCTGCAGTGTTCCCACTTGACAGAAGCAGTTTAAACATGATGGGGGGGCTGCAGAACTCCTTAGATGTCAAATACATCTAACATTTGCTTTGATTATAATGACATTGTTAAATCTAAAAGTAGCTAATAGTGAATAAACATTGCATCTGCCACAAGCTGCTCTCTGATTGCCATATGCTGTAACAATAAAAGCTGTCACTCCAGAAGCCACTTTTGCAAAACCTAATTGCATGACAACACCAAATTAAGTCCAAAACAATGTAAAGATGGTGTGGCCTTTTTTAGAGATCCTGTCACAGAAAGTTAATATGGGCAGGCTGATTTGACCTTATGTTAAAAGGGAAAATACCACCCCATTTCTGTGCATGATCTATATGTGTTCTCTGGGGCTTGATGTTAAATTGGCATAGTAATGATCCCTTCTTCAGAGAGCAAGAAAGCCAAACGACTCACTTCCTGTATAGACACTAAAAATACTCAGTTATCACAATTACATTTCCTCTAGGCTGGCTTGCAGTGATTGACAGTAGCACTTGCTGAAAAGTGGTCACTTCGACACAGGGTATCTCGAACAGTTGTGGTTTCTGGGAAGCTGCTTGCTCTCGGTTTCATTGTTCCTGATAAGGGAAGTTCAAATGCAGATCCAGCATTCCGGGAATACGCTCCCTTGTACAGGAGGTATCTAGCACTGCTTGGCCTTTGTGGCTGTGTCCTGAGGGGCTGTTGGGATGGCAGCATAACCAGAGTTCAGGCTGAAGCAAAAACTGTAGGGGCCTCGGGCCGCCGCAAGTATGTATTCCTCCTTGCGCTTCAGTTACGGGAGTTGCCACGCAGCCTGTTTTTGTACTTAACCCGCACTCCTCAACTGCTGTCTGCCCTAGGACTCTGAGAAAAGTCACACGGAGGAGCTAAGAGAATAAACAGCTTTGGCAGCTGTGATAACAGAAACTGCCTTTAAGGCAATTTCCTTGATAGATAGAAAATATCAAGTCTGGTTGCTTTATTATACGTTTTTCTATTTTTCCCTTAGCAAATGCAGGTTTCTTCAATGGTGTTACAGCTGAGAAACATATTTCTGTTCTTTGCTTGGGGCCTCATCAGTACTCGGAGCCAAGAACAGATTAAAGCGAACTGTCCTGAAATCAACTTTTATGTAAAGTGAAAGCAGTACTTTACAACCTTGAGTGGTTTAAACAAAAGCCTGAGAAGATCGAAGGAAGTTCTCAAGCACATATACAATTACGTATACAGTTGCATATACAATTAAAGTACAGCAGAGAAGAAGTGCGATCAATTTGTTAGCTGAGACAGTAGGCATGGATAGTTTGTTGTACCTGGTAGGAAGTTTAATTTTCCAGCTTTTATGGAAGAAATATATTATGCAGCAAACAATTAAATTAATGAGGCAACATAAAAACACCCTTGTGAGGACGTTGCCTCTAGTCCCTTAGAAGACGGGAGGCTGACCTTCGCCGCCCCAGTTAGTTTTGCGAAGCTGTAAGCAGTGCCTCAGGGGAGGTACACAATTTCTTACTTTAGTGACCCATACAATTCTCCCGAAACCCCTTCTGGCTCAATGCAGATCCACTGTAATGCGAATCATATTAAACTGAGTTCACCTGCAAATGTTATTAATAAGGCATTGCAACTAAAGGCAGCTGCGACTTGCAAGTTATGTGCCGCTGCAAGTATCGGTAATGATCAACACTACTTAATGTAGCAAAAATTCAGCAGCTGGTATTTACTGATACAAGTAGACTCCACCTTTATCTGATCAGATGTGTAACTGTGCAAGGAGCAGCTATACAGCTGTTAAAGTGTATAGTAGACTTGGGTATTGCTGGCTGTGGTGGGGACAACTGGTTGGGAGATATTGGTTGGCTCATCAGATGCCCAGGGTGTTTTGCCTGGTACCTGGGGGATCTGGAGGGCAGGGACAGTATCCTCTTGTGTCTGGGAGCAATGTGCCCGGCATACCTCACCTTCCCGGGAAACAGGAGTGCCTGGGACAGGGGCTGTACAGGTTTGCAGGGCTGGTGAGGTCTGCTGGGAGCTCTGCCGTGGAGCCTACACCCAGCCCTGCTGCGTGGTCTTCACAGGCTGGCTTGCTTTGTGCCACGGTGGGACACATCAGAGGGCTGTGGGGAGAAGATTGAGGTTAATGGTAATTAACAACAAAGGTGGTTCTCCAGGACATGAGCCAGCCTAGTGACTCAGCAGGGGGTGCGGGACACGGAGTAGAGCCACAGAGCGGTGGTGCTTCTGGCTCTCCTTCTGAAGGTCTGCTTTCCACCAAGCCCTTAGCTTGTGTGCCACTAGGTGATCAGAACTGCGTATTTAAATATTGTAATCGTAGACATTTGTGCGGTGCTCTCTATATTCTAAGTACTTTTTTTTTTATGCAGCGATGTATAAAGTTTCATTTAAAATTTTTTGAGCAACGGGTTTACGTTTCTCTGCCCGGATATCTATTTCACCATCTAATAGTGCTGACTGGCAGGAATTTCCCCTCATATGCTGTTTCCTTCTCTTAATGCGGTTCTCTTCCTGTTACACTTCTGTGCATCTCTTCACTTTTCTCTCTTGTGGTTATTGATGGTGATCTTCTCTTTAGATACCTGATTCTTTTAGTACATGCTATGTTAACTGCCTTATCGTCTTGTCAGGATATATGTATATGCATAACCTTGCACACAGGACACAGTTGTTGTAAACAATGCTTTGTCTTCGCTGTTGAGTAGCAAATATGAAAAGGAGGATAATAAGTTTATTAGAAAGAGGCAGGTGAACTTCTGCACAGAATAATCTTTGCATAGCATCTGAGCATATGCTAGACGACGTCCTCAAACAGCCTTTATAGCAGTGGATGCTCAGAGAAGGAGCACCAACATGCCCTCTTTGCAGCCTTAAGAGTTCTGCAGGCTGGTGGAGTTCTAGTCGCAGGTGGAGGCTGTTTGAATTAACGCTATGTTCTGCAAGGAAACAATCTTTGCAAAAGCACTAGTGGCAGAAACATGCCGTAGCACCACTGTCTGGCACATAAGAGAGACCTGGCTCATGTCAGCAAATCTATTAACTCTGGGTCTCAGATGCCGTGTCGTCAGGAGGGAAGAGCAGCGTGTGCCCAGGTTAAACCATGGCAAGTGTACAGCCAGTGTATTTCTAGTGGAAGCAAATGTCATCACATGTGTGAGCAGGAGGGATGTGTGGAGAAGCATGTGTGAATACTGTGTTCCTTGCAGGGACACACATTGTGGGCAGCTGTGCTGACGACTATGCATCCACGGGACCTCATTCATTGTAAAGCAGCAGTGGCAGAAACCAAGTCTGGCGGAGGGATGGAGCTGTACAGACAGTACGTGTGCCTCACCATTTTTTCTACAGGTTTTTATGAAGACAGTTTCTCA